TTAGGGGCATGGTTTAGTGGTGGGCTTGGCCGTGCTGGGTTAACGGTTGGGCTCAATGATCTTAAAGGTCCTTTCCAACCTAAACCATTCTATGATTCTAAACACACTGGTTGGCAGGCTTGTTTTACTCCCAGTTGCTGGTGGGCGGTCAGGTCCTGCTTTGGTCCACACCACCTGACCCTTCACCCCAGGCTTACAATAGGTATAATAATAAATTGGGTAAATAAATTGGCTGGCCTGTGGTGGTGTGCCTGAGAGTTGAATGCCTCTGCCCTTGGTCCCACGCCTTCCTTCAAATCTTGTGCAGAAGCAGGAGCTGTAGCTTTGCGTGCGTTTAAGGGGGAATGTGGGGGAGCCGTGCATCGGGCTGGCTGGCAGCCCCTCTGCGCTGAGCTGCCTCACCCTCCTGTCCTCACAGGAAGAAGCCAAAGCGGCAAAAAAAAACGGATGAGGAGGGCTGGGTGAAGGTAACGCGAAAGGGCCGGAAGCCCGGCCTGCCCCGGACAGAGGCTGCCAACCTGCGGGTGCTGGAGAGGGAAAAACAGAAAAGGGCCCGCAAAGAGCTGCTCAACTTCTACGCCTGGCAGCATCGCGAGACCAAGAGAGAGCGTGAGTGTCCGAGTCTCCTCCTACCCCTGCCCACGTCTCTTGTTTCTTGCACTGTGGCCCAAAGAGCATCCTTTTTCCTTCAGGGGAGGCTACATCCAGCTGCAAGTGAACAGTTAGCTGGGTGGTTGTGCGAATGGCCTCGCCAGCTCTTGGGCACCCTTTGCCATCACCTGCACTAGCAAGGGCTGATGGAATATTTTGCAGGAGAGCGCACAGGTCGTGGCTTTCCCGTAGATGTTTCTTCAGACGGCCAAAAAGCAGCAATTGAAAGGGAAAACTAGCCCAGTTCCTCCCCAAGAGGGAGCTGCAGCACCGCGGAGATGGACGGCCAGGGCCCCAGCTTGGCACTCGGCCCCGGCGCAAAAAGACCTGTGCTGGGAAGCGTGTGTTTGTGGGTGTCGGGACTGAGCCCCTCCTGAGCGTGTGGAAGGGAAGCTCCCCAGGAGAGGGAGATCCGCTGCTCTCCTGTGACCCGTCCTCTTTCTCTTTCTGCTGTTTCAGACATCGCCCAGTTGAGGAAGAAATTTGAGGAGGACAAGCAGAGAATCGCACTGATGCGAGCCCAGCGCAAGTTTCGGCCGTACTAAGCTGTGCTGAGCTATTCCTCAGACACCTGTGCTGGAGAGATGCCTGTGGGCTCCCAAGTGCCAAAGGATTTCAAGGAATTGAGGCAGTTTCAGGTTGTCCCTGCCCTTGGATCTGAAATGGGAGATCCCAGCAACCGCCGCTGGAGGGGGGGAGGTCCCTTCACTCGCACCGGTACCGTCCTACTCTCCCGGCCATCGTTCGGCCCTGTGGCACCGCTTCCCAGGGTGCTCAGGCCAAGGGGCTGAGGCACTTCCCGTATCTCCCTGCCACCCAAGGCCCTCCTAAAGCTTGGTGAGTGCTGGGACGGACCTAGCACAGCCTCCGCAGGGGCAGGGAATGGATGAAGAACTGTAAATAAACTGCTGCTACATTCTCAAAACATGGGAATGCCTCTCTCTCTCCCCCTTGGTCTGCTGTACGGGACAGCTTCTTGCGTGCTGGGGTAGCAATAAAAGTGATGGCTTGTGTGCTGGTCCTCCTGTAGCCGTTTTATCTGGGGGTGAGTAAGAAGAGGAGGGAAGTGACCTTGGGAAAAACCCAACTGGGAAGTTCCCAGACCTGTTGTCACAAGGGAAGATCAGGGGTTTGGTACAGAGCCCTACCCCTTCCCTCGGTGTTTCCCTCGCAGGCAGCTCCCTCTCCGCGAGGCAGTGAGGTGCCCAGTCTGCCAGCCGTGCGTGCACCTCGGCAGCCACGTCTGGCCTGGGCTACAGGAACTCCTGATGTTCAGCACCCTCACTAGGACAAGGTGAGATGGCCGCCTGGCTTTGGAGGGAGAAACCGGATTCCCCAGGCCCTCTTTCCACTTAACCTGTCCCCAGCCCACAGGAGACAGGTAAGGATGGCGATGGGACAATGCTTTTGTCCTGTCCGCAGAACGTTTCTGCAGCTTCAGACTTAACGCTCGTTCACCCCAGTGCATGCTGTGGCCAGAAAGGGGCTGTAACCCACCCACCCCCAGGCTGTCACATGTTTATTTTACTGCCTGCAGCCTCAGTGTGGGCGTGACTGTGAATGCAAGGTGGAAATGCTGGTGAATTCCAGAGAGCTGGGTTAAAATGGATTTACCCTCCCTGAGAAAACCCACTGCAAATGCCATTTCTGCTGCATGGGGAGACTGCCAGGCCTGCTGGCATCAATTTAACTAGGAGGCAGCTGGACCCTTAGTGTGCCCTATCCAAAGCAGACTGCATGTAAAAATCACTGCCTCCCAAGACTGGTGTTTTAGCTGCTTGCCTGAGCATCCCCAAAGAAAGGAGGTTTGCTCCCCTATACAGTCAGGAAGACAAGAATTAACACAGGGAAATTAATCTTTATTTAGGAGGACAGAAATCATCTCTGCCAACTTTTCCATTATTAGTAGTTCTCCCAGCTGCTTTGGCTAGAGGATTAGTGACTCATTCCCTAGGAGTTCATTAAAATGGCCTTTTGTGCCCAGGTGAGCTCTTATTTAAGCTGATTTTTAAAAAAGCAGCAGCTGTCACAGTAGAACAGAGACACTGAGGCCCTCTGAGCTCAGGCACCCAGAGAAGCAGAACGCTTTCCTAGTTTTTCAGTAAGTCTAATCCTGGGAGGAAACTGGTCGCACCCTCCTCAGGGAGGAGGTGAGATGAACCACCCATCTCTTGCATTGCTGCAGCTGCAGCTCCCACAGAGGGTGCCTCTGCCTGTATTCCTGTATTCCTGCTCCATTTCAGGGTGCAAGTTCGAAGCAAGCATGGGGAAGGCCATTCCGGGGCCTCTATCCCTGTCCTCACAGAGCTGGCAGTGGAGGAAGGATTCCTTTTCCCTTTGACAACTGAGCTACTTGGCTCAGCTCTCCTTCAGGGAACCCCTGGCAGACCTGCTTCCACCCTGCAGCAAGCTAAACTTAGGAAAGAGTATCGTGAAACTGATGTCAGATGTGAGGTAGGAATGGCGACAATTCCTCCAGAGCCTGCTTTTTAGCTCCCTGTTCTCCTGCTGCAGCAGTGAGGGCTTCTTAGAGCCTGGCTTTGGTGTTCTGCGCTGTCAGGAAGTTGCTGATGATCCCAGACACCACATCGGGCTCGTTCAGGTGCACAAAATGACTGCCAGGCACCTCTACTAGCTGGATGTGCTGGAGGGAAAGGAGAGAAGAAGATGCAGACCAGGAAAGTGTTCCCTTGGGCAAGCTGTGCTTGCAGCATGGCACTCAAGAGCGAGGTAGGACAGGGACGGGAGGCCTAGGGAAGAGCTGGGTCCAGAGGGCAGTACTAACTTGGGAATTTGGCAGCAGGGGCAAAGTTGGCTTCCCCGCCCCGTGTCAGGGCTGTGTCGTTCAGGACAAATCATCTGTCCTGGCATCTGCCAGCTTCCCAGCTGCTGCTTCCCAGTTAGTGGCGCCCAGAGTAGAGACCCAAGGATGGAGTTTGCTCTCACCTCTTTGAGGGTAGACTCGAACGCCTCCCGTAGGGCTTTCACAAAGTGATTTCTGTTGTCTAGCTTGTGTGGTACCAAGAGTCCATCTTGTGCTCTGAAAAGTAAAGGAAAGGCTCAGTACAGCACAGAGCGTGCCTCCCTTTGTCTTTGCTGCTGTCCTGGGCAGAAGCAGTGTCGCCAGGACAGTGGGGTGACAGACCCAACTGCTCTTTCCTGGCTGCTTGTGAACAGGAGGGTTACAGGGCTGTACCTGGCAGTCAGAGGAGCACCGCACAGCTTGGCTAAGCAGCTATTTTCCATCAAACTGTCTGTTTAAAACCTTGGGTGATTGCCTAGTAGCATGGAGACTGGTTAAATACTGTCCCCCCAGGGCTGGCTCTGAGTACATCATTTCCCGCCCCCACCCTGTCTTCTGCTCTCCATTTTTTTCCTTCCATACAGCTTCTACATCTCCCCTCTGTCCCTTTCCCCACTCCATGCTCCTGTTTTAAACAGGCTGTGCCCTGCTTGAAGAGGGAGGTACCTGGCAGCCCTCCTGGAGAAGTCAGCATTAGCGCTCCTGCAGAGCTAAGATCATGCTGTCTCCTCCCGTGCTGCAGGTGATGGGAACAAGGTGACGTCCCAGGCTCAAAGGCATGTGCTCTGTACGGCCTAGAGGACTTGTCCAAAATGCAACGTTGTGGTGAGGACAAGCAGGAAAATCCTGAAACTCTTACAGTTTCAACAGACCAGGGAAGCCAAAACTGCACCTCATTTCTCGACTTCTAGCACTTCCTCTCATTCCCTAGGGAGTCTTTTAACAGCACCACACAGGCCGAGGTAGTCGGAGCCCTGCACATCTTCCCCTCCAAGGAGACGGGAAGAATGCAGAGGATGGACAGAGCCAGCTACCCACGCAGCCAGCTTCGCAGCTTCTGGGGCTCTGCGCAAGGCGCCGGCTGCCTCCCCACACCTCCTCCCTGCCCAGGGGAGAGCTTGCCGGAGCTGGGGCCGGCCGGGGGCTCCAGGACCAGCTGGTGGAGATGGAGGCTGCCGTGGTTTCACCTGTTTGCACAGGTTTTGGGGTCTGGAGAAGGGGGCAGGCTGGGTTGACGGGACTGGGGGAAGAGCCAGGCCAGGAGGAAAGCGAGTAGGAGCGGTGCTGTCGAGGGATGGAAATTGTGGGATGGGAGTGTGAAGGCAGGAGCGTGGGGAGGACAGGGCAGGACTGGCATTTCCTCAGTCAGCCTTGCACCAGGGAGGCCCAGCCCGAAAGCACAGCGCCGGGCCTGGAGGAGGATGTCCTAGCTGCTTTCTGCCTGCTCCGGGGGCCGGGCCTGGCCAAGGCAGTGGTGGGGAACTGGGAAGCGCTTCTCACATGTGAGGCTGTACTGTTGTGCCAACTGGCCTGAAGGTCTGGGTGGCCACTGCAGAGGAGGGGGTAGCAGAGGACTCCTTTCTAACCTTCATTCCCTCCACCCAGGGCTGCAGGGAGGCAGCGAGGGTTGGTTTGGCTTGTGCCTCACTCACACAATGATGAGAACGCGGTCCTGGATCTTCTGCAAGAGCTTCACACACTGCTCTACCGTGAAGGACTTTCGACTCTGCTGCAGGTGCAAAGACAGGGAGAGCGGGAAAGGTCAGGGCCAGCAGCTGGGGGCAGAGGTTGTCCCCGACCCCTGCCGTCCTCGTGGCTCTGAAGGCAGAAGTGGCTGCGGCCCCAAAGCTGCCATGCTGGGACACGACAGGCGGCCAGGCCGCACACAAGAGTAGCTGGCTCTGCAAAAGCTCCTTCTGTCCAGCTGTGTTTCAGGGCTGCCAACAACACTGCCTGCTGGGATGCAGCACATATGGGAATGATCTCATAGCAGAGAAAAGCTTTAAAAATCCTTTTACTAAAAAGGAGACAGTACGCTACTCTGGCTTTCATAACCTGGCAGTAGCACAGGTAGAGGCCCTTCTTGTTCAAAAGCGGCACAAAGCTATCAAAGTATCAAACGTAGGGACTTTGCTTCGCTCTCTCTCCCCTTCTTATATGGGTGAACTGCAAAGAAGCTGACCGAAAGCATCCATCCATCTGCTGCCTGAAGAGTTACAAGAGCAGGAAAATGTGACCAGGAGGCCCTGGGACAGAGGAACTGCTAAAAAAAACCAGTAACATTTTCCAGTGACTCTCTAAGCTGAGTCAGTTAATGATCGAGTGCAGGCTCTTTTAACAACAGCATTTAAAAGAGCTGCAGGAATTTGGGAAGGAGAAAGTAAACGGCTGGGTGGAGGCAGGGCCTGGGCTCAGTGAGCAGGCCTCCCCTCTCCCTGAGCTTTCCGTAAGCTCAGGGCTCAGAAGCGGCAGAAGAGCAATGCTCACCGTACGGACTCTCATGTCTCTGTTATACACCAGCCCTGGAATGAAAAAACAAGAGGTTTTCGTGTCTCACAGGAACAGGAGTTGCTCTGTTTCTCCTCACCTTTGGGGTCTGCCCAAGACTTTCTGAGACAGGAGGAATAGGATTAACTCAGATTTCTCCTTTTTTTGATTTATTCTCTTTAGCTGCTCTAGGATTCGAGCGCCAACCCCAGTTGCTGGGACTAGAGAGCTCTGCCTCCAGACTTAATTGATCCCATTCAGGCTGCAGAAACTTGTAGCTAGGGCACCCTGTACCCTGCGGAAGACAATGGCTGTTGGCACCGCTCCCTCCCCACACCCAGAGTTGGCCCAGCACTGTGATGAGCCCTGTCTCTGCGCAGCCCCTTACCAGCGGGTGTCTCAGTTGCTCCTCGCTGCAGCAGGATTGCCCCACCCTCTGCTGTCAGATGTCTGTTTGCTTCCAAGAGCCTGGGGGAAGACATGGCAGAGAGATTGGGCTGCTGGAAAAGGGAGGAAGCGAAGCGAAAATGGCATGACAAGGTGACAGCGAGCTCTCAGGCTGCTTCAGAAAAGAGCAGGAAGAAGGAGCAGCTTCAGGCAGCAGAAGCAAAAGGTCTTGCTGAGATTCCAGAGGAGGAGTTGAAAGGGGATGTGCAGGGACAGTTTCCCTTTCTCGTTCACACAGCCGTAACTCTGTCCAAGGTGAGGGCAGGCAGGAAATGAAGAGGACAGATGGGAACCGACCTCTGCAATGCTGCTTCAGGGCTCCGTGCTTTGGGAGTTTGCTGCTTTGCTTCTAGACTCAGTAATCTGTCAATCACCATCCGTTCTGATTTCAGCCACTCCTCGGTGTCCTGAAACAAAGAGAGGTAGGGAACAGGAGTAACCCCCTCTCTTCTGAATCATTTTACCCCTTATCAGAGGGTAGAAGGCGGCATTTCACCCTTCAACATCCCTCAGAACTGGTACCAGTTATGGACATCATATTAAAAAAGCCCATTTCTGGGGAAAAGGGAACAACCACACTTACAAGGCAAGGTAGGAACAGAAAGGTAAGCACTGCTCTAAAGACCTTCTTAACTTTTTTACCCTTGCAATCTTTTCTACCCCTTACTGCCAAACTTTTGAGTTGAGGACAACTGTCCAAAAGAACAAGGGAAACCTGGTAGCTTTTGTCTCTCTGACCCTGGGCTTCTGTCCCACTTCTGCCAACCAAAGCCCCAACGTCTGGTAGCGATGATGGCAGGTTGGGAACGTAGCTTTATGCCGTGCCAGGAACAGAAAAAGAAATCCACCAGTCTTGCACCCAGGTCACCCAATAAGCGGCTGGCAAAAAGACAACCTTGGCTGGCAGTTTCTTGGACAGGGGTTCCAGTTCCCTTTGTACATGGCCCAGACAAGTGAATTTCAGTGCTAAGGGACCGCAGGACGCAGAGCGCTACCAGGTGTCCCCCAAGGGCCACCCTATGCAGGGACCTCAGTCCTTGCAGGGGCAGATCTGTGCCTGCCAAAAGGAAGAGCCTTGTCACAAAAGGACTTGTGTGACCTGCCAGGAACCGGTCACATCAGTGCCTTCTCTGAACAAATGAGGGAAAGAAAAAAAAAAAAACATCTAAAAAAGGGAGGGGAAGGACACGTGAAGTCTAACCTCTGGACCTAGCAGAAAGCCAAGATTTTCCAGCAGGATCAGCTTGTCCACCATCTCAGGATAAAGGAAACAGAACTGAGGAGAGATGAAACAATATGAGAGAAAGAGAAAAGCTGAGCATTGAGTGATGTCTTCGTCCTGCTGCACTAGAAAGAGGTCAGGGCAGGGCCTCTCCTCCCCTGAGATCCAAGTCCCACACAGCCTGTCCCTTCGTTCCTCTCCTATTCGTTGCTCCAGCTGCAAAAATCACAAACACCACGAAGAAAGGATGCTTTACTCACCATTCCTGCCACAGACCCACCTGCAAAGGAGAGAAGGGTGCTCAGTTATGCGGAGGACAGCCCCGGGTAACAGAAACTCCCCTTCCCCACAGCAGGAGCTGCCTTAGAAGCAGAAATGCACGTTGTATCAAGGGGCAAAGCTCCTGCTACGGAGTAGAGCTCTCGATGCAGAGAGCGGGGCTATTGGCCAGCTGCACTCCCCATCCTGCGCCATCCCCATCTCCCTCTCAGGCAGCAAAGGCCAAGGAGGAGTTACCAGTTAAAATGCTACAGCGTGCTGGTCCTGTGAGCTGTGCCCAGAGCAGCCCTGGGGAGCAAAACCCAAATTGCGGCAAAATCCAGTCGCGTCCCAAGCACAAAGGGACACAGCCTGGAGTCCCGTTCCCCTCAGCAAGCTACGTGACCCACCAAGAAGGGCCCTGCTGTCCCCAGGTTTTGTGGCCTTGTGGGGACCAGGCAGAAGGCCTGCTGTGAATTCTCCTGCCGTAGACCATCCTCCCTCCTGGGAGTGGGGGAAATGCCCACAGCAAGAGTTATCCCTGTTTGTACTACAGAGTCTTGAAAGAAGAGGCAAGGAGAAAGCGAGTCCAGAGGAGGCCATGGAGATGATCCGAAGACTGGAGCACCTCTGCTGTGAGGACAGGCTGAGAGAGTTGGGGTTGTTCAGCCTGGAGAAGAGAAGGCTCCGGGCAGACCTTAGAGCAGCCTTCCCGTACTTAAAGGGGGCGACAAGAAAGCTGGGGAGGGGCTTTTGACAAGGGCCTGGAGTGACAGGACAAGGGACAATGGCTTTAAACTGGAAGAGGGAAAACTTAGATGAGATATTGGGAAGAAATTCTTCCCGGTGAGGGTGGTGAGGCAGTGGCAGAGGTTGCCCAGAGAAGCT